ATCGCAACACTGCAGTATTTAGTAGGTTGGTTCATGTTTATTTCATACTCTTATATCATCCTACCCCAGGGAGCCAGGCTGTTTCCAAACTGTGTTGTACACATGCATGAGGTTCTTTATGTTTAAAAAAATCAACATTTTGAGATAACATTTGTTGTTAGTTGCAAAGTCGTGTCTGACCCATCGTGACCCCATGGACAACATTCCTCCAGGCCTTCCTGTCCTCCACCATCCCCCGGAGTCCACTCAAGCTCACACCAACTGCTTCAGTGGCTCCATCTAGCCACCTCATCCACTGCCGTCCCCTTCTCCTGTTGCCATCTTTTCTTCCCAGCATTAGACGCTTCTCCAGGGAGTCCTTCCTTCTCATTAGGTGGCCATACCCACTGACTAATGCCTTTTAAGTTCAAAGTTTCTAGCACAGCAGTGCAGGACCTCAGGCATGGAAGCCACATCAGCCCTGTCCCTATTTCCACCCCCTTTCCTTGGCCCTACCTCTTTCCCCCAAGCACTGGCTGTTTAGTACTTTCCAGGTGCCAGGTGCCAGTGCTTTTACGCCATTCATCACCCCACCCATTCCAGGAGATTGAAATGCTTTCCTTAAGGTTTAGCAATTGGCTGCAAGGGCTGAGCTAAAATATTCTGGAAATTTGGCTCTGCCTTTTTTGCCTGCAGCCCCATCCACGACTGAAATCCCACCGGGTTGCAGCCTAAAGATTGAAAATGCTTCCCCACTCCTTCCTTCACAACTTGTTGCTCCATTCAGATGTTGCCTTTACCTACCACGTTCATTCCACTCCCTGGACCAGGGTACTTCTCTCTTTCAAAGCAGGGCTGGACCTGCACACCAAAGCTTTTGTCTTTGGCCTCATGCATTGTTAGAATATGCACCCCCCACCACTCAAAAGGCATCCTCCAAAATGGCCTTCCCTGCTTTATACTCTGGTTTATTGACCATGTTACTTCTTAGCTTCATCAGTTTGCCTTTTGTGATAAGGGTGTTGGAACAGAAAACTGGGCTTTTTGGATTCAGAAAAGATTCAGTCCTCCCCTCTGCCTTGTAATTAGGTTCCTGGGCAAAGTTGATTTTCTTTTAGTCTTACCTGTTTGCCTTCTGAGTGCCATGTCCACCATGGCAGTCATAATGGGAACAGGCAAGCCATTTTGTAAGAGCCCCAAAGACATGTTCTCAAATCCCACATGGGTTCATTGCCACAGTACCTTTCTGAGCACCCTCACCCAATGGGTTATGTTTCATCATAAAGTATTTCCTAAAAATACAGGCTCTGCTTAGCACTTGCTCTCTGTACAAAATATGTATATCTACAAAATAAGTTCAAAATTTAATGTTATAAGATAAAGGAATGCTGGTTTCTCTTGGCTTTCTGGCAACTGGCCAGAAAGCAATAAAAATAAAAATCCATCAGGTCGACATTTTGTCCCATTTCTGGTCAATTAGTTAACGCTACTGGCCTCCTTAGCAGAAGAAATGAAAAGGAGCTTATACTCATTAATACAAAACAAGGGGGAGGGGAGGGAGGCAATGATATAACCAGAGGAGAATTTGTATTTGGCAGAACAAGAACTGCAGGATACAAAACAACAAGCCTTTGGCAGATTTCCACAGCCAGATGCCCTGCAGATCTATTGTTGGCTGGAATTGACAGGAGATGTGGAATAACATATCTGCAAGGCATCAGGTTGAGAAAAACTTAGATGCCTTCCCTGAAAAATAAAAAAGACTGTTTTAAAAGAACCTATGCTATTATTTCTTTTCAGTCCCCATATTAATATTATCTTCATGCATCTCCCACTGAGACATACTTCCTCAGCCACGGATTATGAACTTAGGCCAGGAATACCAGGCTAGAATAGTCTGGGGGCGGCACTGCCTTCCAGAGGGACCCCTGCAAGCCAAAAGATGACAGGTGGGTGCCCTGGAAACCCCGCTCAGTGCCTGGCCATTTTGCTTTTCTTTGAGCTGAGAGGGTGACCAACTTGGCACCTCCTTTGCACTCTTTGTGCCATCTTTATGGGCACACAGTGTGGCAAGTCAAGCAGAAGCTTCCCTGTTCTTTATCACTGGAAATAGCATCAGAAATTTATCTCCTGTGGAGCAAGGTAAAATTTAGGAAGGAGAGTCAGGACAGGAGAGAAATTTCCATGGGCTGGACCCTCAGAGGTCTGGATTAAGCACACAGACCAAAGTTTTGATGCCTGCAATGAAATGTTGCACCGTGGAGTCCTCCCATTCATCATACCTGGCATGATGTGGAGAGTGCAGCCCTGCTCCCCACCCAACTTCCCACCCCTTTCCTTTGCCCCCAAATCCTGGTCCCTTCACTCATATACCAGACTTGGAATACATTGCTTGAGGGCTAGAGGTGAAATTCAACCCTGCACAACATGCATGGTATCACTGGGCAATAATGCAAGGAATCCCAAGGGCAGTTCTCCAGCTCCCTCACAGGCCCCTGCCACTGCAACAGGGAACGCGGCTCCTGTGCTTGCGCCAGCTGCATGTTGGAGCACCTTCCGCACAGCTGTTCATGGTGCAGGACATGTGCCTTCCTGCATCCCGCCCCCAGGTTGGCAGGGTGTCTGCAAGAGATTTAATGTGCAGAGCGAGAACAGGAAAAAGGAGTTGCCCCGTAGCTCTCTCCTAACATTAGAGCTTGCAAACTTTCATTGGAATTGGCTGGCAATCGGACAAGCCAAAGAAAACATTTTTTGCTAGAGCAGCCAAAAGATGGAAGGGCTTCTTCATTTTGCCTAGCTGGATAGATGAAGGCACTGCAGGAACTGCAGGCATTTCCACTTCTGTTTTACTGTTAAAGGTGCAAGACCCTTCTGCCATCTTTTGCCTCTGGTTGTTCATTCTTAACATGGCACATGTTTATAGAAATTGCTGCTCCTTTAAGGTGATGGTCACTGGCTTACGTGGCTTTTGGAAAGTGCTGGCCAGATTTGCCAAGGAAGAGTATATCAATGGTACATCCATATTCAGGGACAGTATATCACTGAATGCAAATTATTCATGGGGAGCAAGATGGAAGGGAGGCTTTTGTTTGCATGCTCTGCTTCTTGGGATGATCAGCATGGCCTCTATGGGATGCAAGGTGCTGGACTAGATGGATGTCCATTAATGCTGTCCTCAAAACCAGGGGTGGACAGGAGGTAGATCTCCAGATATTTTGAACTTCAACCCCTAGAAACTTCACCAGCATCCAGTGTGGCTGGACACTGAAGGTTCAAACATCTGGCATTCTACTTTCTGCCTGCCTCTGTGCTAAGCTAAGACAGGGGTGAGCAACTGACAGCCCTCCAGATGTTTTGGCCTACTACTTTCACTATGCCTTGCTATGGACTATGGTAGATAGGACTGAGGGGAATTGTAGGCCAAAACATCTGAAAGGCCACAGGTTGCCTGCTCCTCCTTTAAGGGACCTTTTTGTGTTCTTGCAAAGTTTGATGAAAGTGTGAAGGGAGCCAGGGCAGCCTTATGGATCAAGAATATCTCAGAGCAGGAGCTGTTGAAAGCAGGGACATGCTGAGCCATCCGGCCACTTGGATGAGAAAGGGAAGTTATGACAAACCAAGCTGGAGCAGAGGAGCAGCTGTACTTGGGATAAGGCAGGGTTCAACATGAGTGGCCAAGAGCAGAAGGAGAGAAAAGAAGGAAGACACATGGAACCAGTCAGGCAAGAGACACTGAACAGACGTGGCTGGAGTTGGTCTCTACCAAGAAAGAAGAACATGTGTGCTTGCCTATATAGTAGTTAAGTAATATACAAGACCAAGTCAAGAATGTCAGTTCTAAGCAGAGACTCCAATGTGAAATTGCTCAGTTAGAATGATCAAAAGTGTGATTATAGTAATGGGTGACTTTGATGTCATAGATTAGATAAATACATGGTTTGGTCACACAGAAAAGTTTCTTAATGCTCTAATAAACCAGACTTCCCTAATTAGATGCAATCCTGGTGTGTACCTGCAAGCCCCATCATGCCCATCCATCACAGGCACGGCTAGGAATGCTAGAAGCTGAAGACTAAACACATCTGGAGGTTCTGAGCTTTAGGAAAGCTGCCTAAAATGACTTTGTCCTAGAACGATGGCTCAGGAAGATGACCTTGGACACAATTCAGGGAGACACTGCCTGGAATCTAGTGTGAGATATGAGTGCTGTTGAACCAGTAGGAAGCATATGGAAATGACTAAGGATGTTCAACACACTCATACATACTCTCAAAGGAGAAAACTTTTCAAAAATGAGGGGGCTGTACATAAGAGCTGTGAAGGGAAAGTCAACAGGGTCAATGGTTTTCAGGATGTTTGGGGTGGTTACTCACAACTACAAGAATGCACATATTTACATTGTAGAAGCTCAGCTAGAAGTATCTACCAAGATGGAATCTGTACATGGTACCTTTTATAACCTATCAGTTACATACAATTTGGAATGGGGGAATCACGTGGGCCATTTGTGACAGGCGCATGAGCTAAAACAATAGGGTTGAATGTAATTAATACACACAACAGGAAAAGAAAAACTTTCAGGATAGGTGAACAATGAGCTTAGAACAATTATCTAAGAATGTACCTGAACAGGACAGGTAAATAGTAACATGAATCCCGCCTTAAAACTAAAGCTGTTCTTACAGTGTCAGGCTTTTAGCAGCTATATTATGACAGCTTTTCCTCATTTTGTCCTAACAGTTGCTATGAAAAAAAAAAGGATTACGCAATTGCGTGATGAATACCTCCTCTGGGAACACCCTTAATTTGTACCTCTCATAAGGTACAGCAAACTGCGCTGTAAGTAAAACCTGCCTTGAACTTTTGTACAAGCAAAGCAAGGTCCACAAACGGAGGAAGGCGGAGCTCAGGATTACAGTCAGTCAGCCTAGCAGCTATCTCATGCTGGTTAAAGTTTCCTGAGCCAGAGCCAAAGGCCTCGTCAAATCGCCTGCATTGCTTTTGTAGCTGCTCTTGGCTTTTTGCTCCCTCTGCTCAACAGGGCCTGAACGGAGCCTCCTGCACACAGTTTGCCCGGCACCTCCAGGGCGTTGGGCCACACTTCAGATCGCAGCCATGCTGACCCCATTTACAGCTGTGCTGGGGCTCCTGGTCCTTCTGCCCCTCCTGGGGAATATTTACTTTCCCTACCTTTGGCTGGACCTGGTCTTTTTCTTCTCCTTAATGCGTGCACATTACAGAATTTCGAAGTACCTCCAGCGCAAGCCTCCCTTCACCATGCTGGACATCTTCTTGGCCAAAGTCCAGAAACATCCAGAGAAGCCCTTCATTCTCTTTGAAGAGGAGACCTATTCCTACCGAGACATTGACCAGCGCAGCAGCCAGGTGGCGCGCGTGTTCCGGGGCCATTTGGGGCTGAAAGGAGGAGAAACGGTGGCTGTTTTCTTGAAGAACACCCCTGCCTACATCTGGGTCTGGCTGGGCCTGGAGAAGATCGGCTGTGTCATGGCCTGTGTCAACTACAACATCCGATCTGTATCTCTGTTACATGTGGTGAATACCTGTGAGGCCAAGGTGCTTGTGACCACTTCAGGTGAGCTTGACTCTGTGGTGGTATCCGAGGGGAATTGAAGGACATATTTATATTCTGCACCGGTGAGTTGCTTTCAGCCCAGCTTTCTCAGGCACAGTATGAGAGAGGGTGGAATGGGTGAGGGAGAGAGGAAGTCTTTAGTGAAACAAATCAGAATCGCTTTAGCCCGGAGAGAGAACAAAGCAACTTCTATCCAAGCCTTGTGCTTGAGCAGCCACTTTCTGTTTGGTGTCAGTTCAGGGCACAGTGTTGAGATAGCAAAATATGATCAATTCTGGCTCGCATTTGTAGTGAATAAGAGGTAGATAGAGCAGAGAGGATGTTGAGGTGCTTTTCAGTCCTCTCTCAATTGTCTTTTGTGATAACTAGGTGTGTCAGTATTATTCCCATTTTGCTGAGCAGGCAAGATTAAGAGAAAATGAATTATCCAAGGACTGGCTGCATGGATTGGGATGTGATTTTAATCCTTGTCCCCAGAGCCAAATCAAAGCAGACTGGCTGGGTTCACATGATAAGTTGTGATGTCATATAAACACAAATTGATCCCATCAGGGTAGAAGCTACCATTACAACCAAGGGATTGCTTGTGGTTTGTTGTACCCATGATGGGTTGTCATGTCACCCAAACGACTCCAGTAAACATGGTGGCTCACAATTCTGCATTTTCCTGAGATGGCAGGATCCTGGGAGCAAGTGCAGAAGTGTGGGGAGAGGACCGTGGCCACCAGGAAAAATAATATTTCTTCCAGTGGGCCACCATTAACAAAAAAATCTAAGCCTTCCTCAACTGATGGTCTCCAGAGATTTTGTTTTCATGTCCCATCAGCCCCAGCCAGCATAGCCAATGGCCAGGAATGCTGGGAATTGTGATTTAAAACATCTGGAGCCATCAGGCTGGAGAACGCAGGTCATGGGTGTTCAGGAGAAATAAAATGGTAGCCACAGGAAGAGTTTCCTACATCATTTCTGCTACCATTGCTGCTCAATGCAATTAATCACCATTGCCAAATAGGTATACCAGAAATGATGGCTATTTGTTATGCATGGCAACAAATGAAAATTAAAGAGAACAGGTTCCAGAAAATGGATGCATCAACCCAAAATGCTGTTATCTTCATTATATTGAACTACACTGGCTGTGTGATAATACGCAAAGCAATAATTTGTAATGGTGGGAGTTGGGGGCTGGCCTTGCCGAATAGTGGGGCTCCCCTTGGTGAAGTTAAGAAGCAAGTTCCAGCTGAACATGTCACCTCTATTCTTCTTCTCTTTAAGATTTGAAAGCTGCTATCGAGGAAGTCATGCCTTCTCTGCAGTCCAAAGGGATACGAGTTTTCTACCTGGATGACGACTCCCCAACGGAGGGCGTGGAAGCTTTGCTGGGAAGGATCAGAGCCAGCTCCACTGAGCCAGTGCCTCCTTCCTTCAGAACCAGCATGGGTGCTCTGTCTACAGCCCTGTATGTTTTCACCTCTGGGACCACAGGTGAGGAGAAGGCGTGCCAAGATGGGGCAGTGCAACGAAGAGGGGAAGAGGCTGCTTTCTCTGTTTCTTCCCAGTTTCCTCCAGGCACTTTGAGGAGGGATGGATGCACCTTCCGGAAGGACCGTAGCTCAATGCACGCATCCATGCAGAGCTGGCTCAAAGGTTTTGAGGGCCCTGGGACAAGTCCCCCACCCCATGAGCCTGCCCTAGCACTGCCCTAGTCGCCAGCAGATGTATCTCCTCCTGTCCTTTCTCAGTGGTGCATAAAAGGCAGCGCACTGGGAACAAGCCAGCGGTGCCAGCGACTGCTCCTTCTTCCCAGCATCACCTCTCACCAGACTGAGAGGCAGGGGGACACGCAGGCCAAAAAGCGGGAGGGGAGGCACACATCCGGGGAGTGTTCGTCTGTGGGGCCCTGTTGACACCAGCCCACACGTTCAGCCCAGCTACATGTGGATCTTGGCCTGAGACCTTGGAGAATCTTTGCCAGGTCGAGCAAACAGTGGAGTATTAGATGAATCAAACCTGACGTGACATAAGGCAGCTTCATAAATGGGTCAGAGTCTCTCTGCACAGGCTCATACTTCCAGCTGGGGTCAGTTCCCAGCCCGTTTCCATGCAAATGCAGCAGGAGCACCCTGGCAAGCCTGCCATGACAACCTGCAGTTCAACAGGCCAGCTTTGGCTGCATTGGCCACACCTCTGAGAGCTCAAGATATGTCACATTTCTAGCTCTTTGCTCACACAGAATAGACTGTGGCTTGATTTAAAGCAAGGTACAGAAACATTCTGCCGTCTGCTGTGTCTGCCCCAGGCCATTCGGGGCCTGAGTAGAGGAATAATGCAGCTGTGAGAAGTAAAGTTATATGACATGCCCACAGACACATACAAGCACCTTGCAATTTAATTTTTGCTAAGTTTTTTTCCTGCTCTGTCTTCCTGAAGGGCTACCAAAAGCGGCTGTCATCACCCAGAAGAAACTCATCTCTATAGCCAGCTTCTTCTGCTTATCTGGGTTACATGCCGGGGACATCGTCTACACCCCTCTCCCACTGTACCACACGGCAGCCCTTCTTCTTGGGATTGGAGGGTGCTTGGAGGTTGGTATGTATAGCAAGCTCATGAGACCTGAAACACTTGCAGGTGTGAGGGAGACACAACGAGGTCTGAATTTCAGAATCTGAATCGTGGCTTCTGAGCTGAGTGACTGAGATTTTGTTCTCTCTGTGTGTCTGTTGTGTACAAACCTTGCTACTTGTGGCAAGTCCTGAATTCCTTTCCTGCCTCTCCTATTGTCTGTCTGTCTTCCTACCTGCCTGCCTGCCTTCCTTCCTTCCTTTTTTTTACAAATTCATGGGGAATTTGGTTCTTTTACCATTAATTTCTGAACTGATCTGGATGTCAGAAATGTTTGAAGTGCTGGAACAGAGCATTTATACACATTTAGCTAACAGACTGAGTGATTTTGTTGTTGTTGTTTTAATAAGAAGGGTCATATGCTGCTTTTTTAGTAAAAAATGAGTTGAAATTCCTCCCAAAGTGAATAGCAGGTGCATGATGGTGATGGCGGACGAGATCATCATCAGGCCTGCAAAACGGGCACAAAATTAAAGCCCCTCTTCTTTCTATACCACAGTCCCAGTCCAGATTGCAAATGTACACAGTGGCTATACAAGAAAGAAAAATCAGCAATGCAAAGGCAAAGGAGAAGACAAGCATCCCATCCAGTCTGACTCTGAGTCATCAGACTTGTACTTGACAGATTTGCCATGAGCTCTGCTATTCCCCTGGACTTCACCAGAAACTGGTGTTCATAGTAACTCCATTCTGAAGCAACCATCTTTCTCTTTCCCTCTCTCTTTATTTATTTAATAGGGGCCACCTGCGTCTTGAGATCTAAGTTCTCCGTTTCCCATTTCTGGGATGACTGCCGAAGATACCGTGTCTCAGTGATCCAGTACGTGGGAGAAGTGATGAGTTACCTGTGCAATGCACCAAAGGTAAGGAGGAGAGGCCCAGAATATTGTTGTGAAACTGGTGCTGTTGCCAGGAATTAGTGTGGATGGTTTTGCTAACTTGCTTACAATGGAGCTGAAATCATAGAATGCGGCCATTCTCTCCATCATTATTTGCTTGCTTATTTAGAATAGTAGAGTTGGAAGGGGGCAAGAAGGCCATTGGGTTCAACCCCCTGCTGTTGCAGGACACCAGTTTGCACCTTCCCACTCAGATGGCTGTCCAATTTCTTTTTGAATGTCTCTAGTGTGGGAGAGCTGACCACCTCTCTTGGCAACTAGTTCCACTCTCATTCTGCTCTGACAGTGAGGAATTTTTTCCTGATATCTAGCCTGAATCTGGGTTGTCACAACTTAGCTGATTATTCTGTGTCCTACACTTTGGTATCATCAAGAAGAGATCGTGACCTTCCTCTTAGTGACAGCCTTTGAGATACTTATAGAGTGATACCATGTCCCCACTCAGTCTTTTTTTCTCAAGGCTTCTCAACATACCCAGTTCTCTCAGTCTCTCCTCACATAGCAGTGCTTCTAAACCCTGGTCATTTTTGTTGCCATCCTCTGGACCATTTCTAATTTTCTGCATCTTTCTTAAATCTTGGTGCCCAGAACTGGACACGTATTCCAGATGCCGTCTGACTAGTGAGGAGCATAGAGGAACTACTACTTCTCATGATTTGGAGGCAATACTTTCCTTTAATCATTTTTGCTTTGCAATCCAAAGTTTGCCTCAAAGCCAGAACTGCCTCATGGTGGGATAGTGAAGTTGCTTGACCTGTTTCCACATGTTAACAGTGTCTCAGTTCTCTGCACCAGTTTTTGGGTGGTTTTCTTAGGCAGCCCCTTACGCAGTGCATTGCAGTAACCTAGCTAGGATTTGATTATGGCCTATAAGGACCTACCACCCATGGACCCTCTAGCTACAAATACAGCACTGAAACTGGTACCAGCTGCCACCATGGAGGGTAAAACAAACTCACTCTCTCCCATCTCAGTCCACTGGGAACAGCTGCCCACATATCCCACAGAGACTCCTGTGGTGGCCTCTCCACTATCCCTTATACTCGTAAGGGAGAACAGTCAGATTCAAGTTCTGCTCATCCCATTGCATGTAATCTGGTTGTTAAAGCTCTGTTAGCGTTATCAATAATTTGGCAGCACACTGCTTTGCGAGTCTCCCTCTGCTTTCATCTCGAAAGCTCACAGCCTGGGTTTGGGTGAAAACAGCTTAAACATTTATGAAAGGTTTAGGGGAAAGTACAGAATGGGAAAAGTTGGTCTGATTGTGAAAGCACCACAAAAATGGAAAAATACCCACTAGCTAGCTCAGGCCCATGCAAGCTGCTGCCTTGGTTGGTGAAGACCTGCAGTTCTCATGGTGAAGTTCTCCTAGTGTGACAGGTCTTGTCTGGGGAAGAACTACACCCAGGTGCCTGTACTAGAGAAACCTCATCTCCCCCATGCTGTTTCAAGCTCCCATGCGTCCTGGGAAACTTGCCCCGGTGCCTGTGCTGGAAGTGAAAGCCCCCCAACTTCCTTTTCCTTATTTCCTTTGGTCCCACCCCATTGCCTGGTACAGTTTCTAGAAGGGTCTCTTATTTTTTTCTGTTGCTGTAATGGCTTTTCAGTCTACCATTCATTATCTCGGCTAAGTGATAGTAGTTGGCCTGAAGATGATTACAGCCAGATCTGCTGCGTTGCAAAGACCTGGCCGTTGCTTAGACAAAGTGAGGAAGGTTTCTGTCTCTTGGACCTGGGTAAGATGAAGGCTGAGTGTGCCACTCCAGACCTACCATAACATGGCCTGATAAATTATATTTTGCTGATAAATTATATTTTGTAAAGCATATTGTATCTGCTCATTATAGGCCACCAGGTGAGTGGCTATCAAGTCTATTTGCTTCTAAATCAATCCTGTTGATATGTTGCCTTGCAGAAGGACAATGACCGTGACCACAGTGTGCGACTGGCAGTGGGCAATGGCATGCGGATGGAGGTCTGGAAGGAGTTCTTGCGCCGCTTTGGACCCATCCAGATCTATGAGTTCTACGGAGCTACAGAGGGGAATGTCGGGTTTGTGAACTACACAGGGAAAGTAGGGGCTGTGGGAAGAGCCAGCTACTTCTTCAAGGTAACATGTATGCAGAATGGGAATTTCTCTGGATGTGTTATCATGAATGTGTAACTGTTGTGGAGTCAGCATCATCCCAGTTAAATATTACAGAGATGTTGCTTCCAAAGCTTATGCAAGCTTCCATTCCAGAACATACCACTCTTTCCACAGGCTTCCAATCTCTTCGAAATATTTCCAGTCCCTCTTCAAAACCCACCTTCTCTGTGAAGCTTTTAGTACAGCATCACAGTCCAGGAGGAGGCAGTCTGGGGCATTGCTAAACTCCCCAAATCTAGGGCCCCACCTAGGTCTGTTCCACAAAGCCCTGGTTGTCAATGAGTACCAGTGAAAGCCTTTTACTCTCAGCTTAATTGCCACATGAGGGGGCAGTTTTCAAGGGGGACTGAAACTGGGGGAAGGAAGGCTTATTTCTCCCTTTCTCACATGCTGCAGTCCCTTTCCCCAAAGTTTTGGCTTGGAATAACCTAAGGTAGTGTGCAAATTCATTCAGGAAATAACTTAATTTGGAATTATTTGGATAAGAAACTAATTGGCTGGTTTTTCCTTCTGTGAAACCAAGATATAGCCTGGTAATTATTTCTAAATCTGCAGTCTAGGTTTTATACATATTTGTGCCCCATGGGCCTCAGAGCCACTGGCAGGGCTGTGAACCTGCCAAGGGCCCGCACCCCAACATTGGCAAGAACCCTCCGGAGACCCGCCTCCTCTTCACCTTGGTGACCTGCTAGTTCATCTCCCTCACATTCTGGCCTAGTAATGGTGGTGGTGAGCGGGAGTCGTAGCTGATGCCACTCCTCGTGTGCTGGCTGGCTCTCTGCCTGAGAAGTGCACAAGCTTGCAAGTGGCAGCAGTGATGAAAGAGAAGACGAGAATAGTAGGCACTAACAGCCACGAGAAAGCAGGATCATTGAGGGAGGGGGCCCCTTGTCTTCCCAAGGGCCCTCCAAAACCGGGGGCTGGCATTGCAGGCCTTCAAGAGTTGTGTGACACGCAGAGGTCCCGGAGGCGAAGCCGTTTCTGCCATGCAGAGCCAGTGATGGGGGAAGCACTTCATCATTTGGACCTTCTGCTGCTGCTGCAGCCTTTTAAAGTCACACTGGCCCTGCCAGCAAAAGAACAATAAGGAACTGGCAATACGAAATTGGACAATGGGACATTGCTCAGTTACTCAGTTACCAGCACATTTAATAAGTATTCTGCAGCATGTGTCCAAACACAGTGCCGGTCAAGTTGTGCCAGTTGAGTTGTTAACTAGAAAATGTTTCTCCTCAATATGTAGGTTAAAGATTAGCACACCAGCCTTGTTCTGTTCATGTGTGCATCTGAGAGGGAGGGAGAGAGAGCATGCAAAATGGGTGCAGAATGAGGATTTCGTGTGCTCAGTGGCCACAGAATGCTAACAGATGGTTGGAGATGGGAGAATAGGAACTGCACTGGGGAAACTGGGATGAAAAACAATATCCTGGAACAGCGTCCTGGTGGGAGAGCCAGAGCAGTGTGATAGTTAATGTTTGACTGGGACTCAGGAAATCCTAGTTCTAGTCCCTGCTTGACCATGAAGCTTGCTGGGTAGCTTTGTATCAGTCACTGACTCTCAGCCTAAACTACCTCGCAGAGTTGTTGTGAGGAGAATATAGAGAGAAAGAAGAGCAATGACACTGCCTTGTGTTCTTGTGAGGAAAGAAGATGGAATATATATGTAATAATCACTAAAAACAGAAAATAGCCTTAAGCAGGAAAGGTCCATTCTGCTGTATTGTTGCAGGCCCAACTTGCTTAAGCCAATAGTAAAAAAAATCCCGTTCCAAAGTTCAGAGGCAACTGACTGAGAATTTGTTGGCATCCACGAGCAACTGTTCATAGAAGGGGAAGGTTAATGCTGCGAGTTTATTGATGCAGATCAGGGCTTGGCAACCTGTCTTGAACTCTGGATGCTTTCCACTTGGACCCACAATCATTAATCTCCACCGCCCAGCAGCAAGACACTGAGAGCGGGCAAACTCATTCTCTTTCCAGGGGCTTTTCTATTGTATGTGCACACAGATTACACTACACCTGACTGACTGGGTGAGGTGCAGCAGCTGGAGCAACTCTTTCAGTCTACTGGCCAAACTCAGTGTCGGAGAAGCTGGCAGGGATGGGCAAGGCTGAATCCCCAAAGGGTGGAGGCAAAATACCAGAAATCCAGGTCCCGTAGCCCTGTAGCTACCCCTGGACACAGACAACACTTTAAACCCAGGGATGCCAAAGTCCCTGCAAAATGAGCACTTTGCGGCAGCTGTCAGAGTTGCCTCGTGCTACCAAAAGGGCTGGTGGCCACAGTAGCACGGGACGAGCCATGTTCTTGTCAGCCTCCGGGCTACATGGAGTACATTGCTGCCCAGCAGGTGGGATGAAGGGGATAAACTTTAGATCTGTTTACTCCAAATTTCCACTAAGGTCAAGGGGACTTGATTGCCAAATCAACAATCATAGGGTTATACTCTTAAACTGGTTTAATCAGGATTCCTTATCCAGAGAAAGAATTCTGGAACCAAAGAAAGATCCCTAGCAGAGAATTGCCATACCCTTACCAAACTACATTTCCAAGAACTTTCAGCACAGGATGACATGGAAGCAAAACTGATGTTTATTTGCAGAAATGGGCAAGAGTGCCTGTTTGTTGGGGTTTGAGGGATGTTGCAAGGGAGTGGGGAAAATGCCCAGTGTTTTCTTTATACTTCAGAGCTGTTTCTGTCACTGCTCAGATGGTCTAGTTCAGCAGTCTTTGTTGTCTCACTACATGTTCCTAGACAAGAACTATAAGTTCCCAGGTTTTTAGGTCGTTCAGAAAATACATCCTGGCATATCTATGCTGCAGCTGTCTTGAGTTTCTGCCTTCTGGGCTTATGTTTCCTTTCCCTTTCTATCCCACTTCAGAAATTGGCAAATTTTGAACTTATTAAATATGATGTCATCCAGAATGAGCCCATAAGGAACAAGGAGGGGCGTTGTATCCCAGTGGCTACAGGTAAGTTTATAAAATCAGCGTTCGGGCATAAACAGGGAGCTGTGTCACAGCAATTTAATAAATTTGATTTCTCTCTTAGCAGGTGGAGTACTGCTGTTTGAATCTAGTCTCATATTTCAGGATTATTTACAAAGTTCCTAGATCATGGCATTTTAATGCATATTACAAGGAGTGTATTATTTTATTTAATGGCATTTATGGCATTTCCTGGCTGTCTTTCCACCAAAGAGCAGGATGACTTACAAATAACTCCAGATATTCAAAGTATTCTTCAAGTGCAAATAATTATATATTCAAAATGGTACCATCTATGATAGATGGGGGTGGGTGTCTGAAAGCTTGTGGCAGGACAAACAAGCAAATGATTACCTGGAAGAGAAAAACCCTAAAGGGCAAAACAGAGCAGAAGCAACCTAAACCACCACCCTCCATAGCTTTACAGTGATATGACTTTTTCAAGAGAATTTAGCATTGAGCTCTCCCTGTTCCCAGTGGCGACTTGGTACCAACTGGCAACTGCCTCATAGGGCATAAGGGTTGATGCAGCAGTGCCTGCTGGTCCCAGCTGCCATCATTGAGGGTCACCTACTCTTTTCATCTGCCAAGTGCTCTTGGTCCCATGGGACTGGCCAAGGGTCCCACGGGGGTCCTTTGTGCAGAGCTTCTTTGCAGCCCACCTGGGTCCTTGGGGAGCACAGCTAGATGGCAGGTTGTTCTCGGCACATTGCATGCAAAGGCAAAGTATATCCCCAGAGACATACATGAGTCTCCCATCTGTGCAACCTCTGCAGCATGGCCTTTAGAGGCACCAGGTAATCCTTCCAGGAGTCAGAGAAGATGGACACCTCATCAATCTACACCATGGCAGTCTGGCTCTGCCCATCTAGTCGCTGGTTGATGAGTCTTTGGAAGATTGTGGGCACACTCTGGAGCCCAAAAGCCGGGGGGGGGGGGGGATTGGAATAGGCCTTTGTGGGCAATAAAGGTACTCTTTTCACTAGCTTCCCTGCCCAGCAGCACCTGCCAGCAACCTTTGGTCAAGTCCAGCATTGTGATGGACTTAGCAGAGGCTCGTTTGTTGAGCATTTAGAAATGTTGGTTCCTAATTGATTCTGGGCCACCTACTCCTCCCTGTAACTGTACATCAAGTACTTGCAGTACTCAGGAGAAGACTCCCGAGAGTCCCTTGGACTGCTGAGAAATTAAATCAGACAATCTTAAAGATAACCACCCTGACTGTTCTTTAGAAGGTCAGATACTGAAGATGACACTCAAATACTTTGGCCACTTAATGAGAAGGAAGGACTCATTGGACAAGGCTCTGATGCTGGGAATGATTGATGGCAAAAGGAGAAGGGGATGGCAGAGGTTGAGGTGGCTGGATGGGGTCACTGGGGCAGTGGGTGTGTGTTTGGGTGGACTCCGGGGGATGGAGAAGAGCCTGGAGGAATGTGGTCCATGGGGTCATGAGGGGTTGGCCACAACTTTGCAACTAAACACAAACACAGCAAAATAATTGCAGTACTTCAGGCCCTGCCTGGTTATTATGAAGGTATGAAACCACTCAGCAAGGTGAGGGTGGTCTTCTGCTTCCTTCTAAGCCTCAAGTGGGCTTGTCTCAGTTCCCTGCTTTTGCCTGAAGTCATGAAGCTGGGCAGCTTCTTCCAGGTTTGCATTTTAGGTGCCTTTTGCTGCAGCTCTGGGGCATTTGGCCTTATACTTGAAACAGGTCTGGAGTGTGGGTGTGTTGTCTGGAGCAGCAGTTTTTGGCCGAGCCTTTGGGGCCCGGGACAAGTCTGGCATGGTGAGCCTGGGTCTGATGGTGGATCGGTTGGCTTTGCAGCCCTCCTCCACTTCCCAGAAACCCCCTGCTGCTTACCACGGCCTTCCAGCATGTGGTGACTGCATTATCCCCTTCCCTGACCTCTGCTGGCATTTTTGCTTTCCACTCCTGGATTCCTGTGGCTCGGCCACTGGGAACTGCAAGGGAGAAGTACTTCAGGGCGTTCGAGGTGGCTGGGGCATCTGTAGTCTTTGCCTGGGCTGCTTTGCACCACAGCTGAAGAAGTGGGCATGCAGCCTTGGAACTCGCTGGCCATGCCATGCAGCCACAGATGACTCGGGCTGAGGACTCCCCATCCTGTACCTTGCCGCTGCTTGTGCACGCCATTGCCTGACTCTTCTGCATCTGTCCGCTCCCGCTTGCAGAGGGGCAGCTCTGGCGTGGGAGCTGTTTTGTTGGTCATGGTGCAAGATTTCTCAAAAGGAGTGCTTGGATGATGGGCCGAGGCGCTGGACCTCTGGCACATGCACCAGTTCCCTACTCTAAACTAGTCTGAGCCTGCAAGGAAAAAACTTGCCACTGATACACACCTTTCCCAGACTAGAAAAACAAAAACAAAACATTCTGTTGGATTGAGGTCCACAGCATACCAAGATTCATCTCGGTGCTGCCGCCATGTGGCGACCTGCCACCCGCAGGTAGCCACATTGGAGGGCACAGAATCTGGTGCTGCAGTGCCCCCCCCCCCCGATACTGGCTGCCCCTACGGAGAGTAAAAAAACCCGATCTCCACAGTTCCCAAGTTTTCTGAGTCCCTTGGGGACAGTGAACCAAAGATCCCACTGGGGTCTTTTGCAGCCCACCTTTGGCCAGGACTGCAGGCTGTGCTTGGCATGATGCATGCAACCTGGGTGTTGAAACAGCCGTGACCCCAAAATGTGGCGTGCCTCTTGTGAGCCTCCCCCTTTCACCCTCAAAGCACACAATCTGAGTTTTGGTGTGGAAACAGGGTAAGGGATTTATTGAAGATTAAGGGAAAAAAGTACAGAATGGGGTAAAGTTTGGTCAGATCCAATAATCTCCCTGATAAGCAATTTAAAGAGGCAAATCAGTTTCAGTGCCCAAAACAACGTGCAGTTCAAAGCAAGCAATTGGTGGAAAAAACAAATGAAAGGGAAAATATTGTCTAGCTAGCACAGTCCTGCACTAAGCTGCCTGGCTGGTTCCTTGAAGACCCACTTGTGACAAAGTTCTCCTGATGTTTGCATCAGCTCTTCCTCCCTTTGACTGGGGAAAGCTGCTCCAGGGCACCAGTACTATTTTATTTATTTGTTTGTTTGTTTGTTTGGAATTCTTATATGCCGCCCCATTTGCAAAAGCCTCTGGGCGGCTTCCAACACAAATAAATAGCAATACAAATACATAAAAAACTGGAAACGTCCTGGCATAAATATAAAATCAATAAATAAAATCAGCAATTAAAATAATGTTTAAATAAAAAGGTCTTGGCCTGGCGCTGAAAAACAAATAGACAGTGCTGGGAACACATTCCATAAGTGGGGCGCCACCACAGAGAAGGCCCTCCTCCAGGTACTCACCCTCCTAATATCTTTCACAGAGGGTTCCCTGGTCCTGAATGGTGCAACACTCCCTCTTAGGGATAAGGTCCGCAGCTTAGGAGTACTCCTCGACCCGGAGCTTTCACTGGAGGCTCAGGTGACAGCGGTGGCGAGGAGCGCCTTCCTTCAGCTTCGGCTGATTAATCAGCTGCGCCCCTACCTGGAGTACGACTGCCTGGCGACGGTGACACATGCGCTGGTGACTTCCCACCTAGACTTCTGTAACGCGCTTTACGTGGGGCTTCCCCTGAAGACGGTCCGAACACTTCAATTGGTGCAAAATAGAGCTGCCAGGTTGCTGACGGGGACGGGGCGTTATGCTCACATGACTCCAGTCCTCCGTCAGCTTCACTGGCTTCCCATTGAAGCCCGGGCCCAATTCAAGGTGTTGATTATGACCTATAAAGCCCTAAACGGCTTGGGTCCTGGCTACCTGAACGAGCGCTTACGTCCGTATATGCCCGACCACCCTTTGAGATCTGTGGGAGAGTCCCTCCTCCGGGAACCCTCCATGAAAGAAATTAGGAGAGTAAGTACTCGGAGGAGGGCTTTCTCTGTGGTGGCGCCCAACCTATGGAATTCACTCCCCAAAGAGGTCCGCCTGGCACCGTCGTTACTGGTTTCTCAGCGCCAGGTAAAGACCTTTTCATTTAAACATCATTTTAATTGTTAAAACATATGATCTGGCCAGGGCAACTTCTTCTTCCTTCTCTTTTCTCCTCCTATATTTTTATTTACTTATTTTATACTGATAATTTTAATTTTTTATTTGTAACTCAGTGTATTTTTTGTATTTTTGTATTTAATGGTAAT